CATCTCTCTCTCTCTCTCTCTCTCGCTCTCTCTCTCTATATATATATATATATTGTTATGCCTGAGACTGTATCTTAGCCGCTGTTTTGGTGTTTCTTTCTCCCTTTCTCTCCTGTCCTGTCTCTTACAGGTCGCCCCGCCACCAGTGTGCGCCGTGGTAGGTTGTGAGGAGCACCAGCATCTTTCAAAAAGACAAGCATAGAGCAACATCCTCAGAGAGAGAGGCGTGAGAGAATGGAATGTGCGCTGTTCATCTTGTTGGACGTTGTTGAGACTGTGTTATCATATTTATTGTAAGAACTTGTTGAAGTTTTGAGTGAACGATTGAAACGTTTATTGTTCTCTCCCCTCATTCCGAGTGTGAGAGACCATAAATCTGTCTAGCAAGTAGTTTGTGTCTTGTGAACGCTGTAGGGGCTAGGTGCCATTTATGTTTAACATGTTTTTCTCCTGTTTTTGGGATTAGTTAAGGAGGTAGGGAAGTGCCTGTATCTTCTTTTTCTTTATTTTGTTAGGATATTTAGTTTTGGGTTAAGGTAGTTCCTTTTTGTTTATTATTTTGGCCTGGCCTAGCCCTTAAGTTTTTTTACGTTCTTTTTGTGTTACCAGCTGGCAAAACCAAACTGTTATTCCCTTTTAACCTCACAATAAAAAAGAACCCCAAGAGGTTTCTTGAAAAGGTACCATGACCATCTCTCTTCATTTTATGTTTCACCCCTGGGGTTGCAACAATATATATATATTAGAAAAAATTTGAATATCGTGGAAAATGTTTTTTTTTTTTTTTTAAACTTGTTTCCAAAAGTGAAACTTTCATATATTCTAGATTCATTACATGTAAAGTAAAACATTTCAGACGTTTTTTGGTTTTAATTTTGATGATTAGAGCTTACAGCTCATGAAAGTCAAAAATCCAGTATCTCAAAATATTAGAATATTTGCATTTGAGTTTCATTAAATGACCATCCCTACAGTATAAATTCCGGGTATCTCTTGTTCTTTGAAACCTGCTGACTGCTGACTTGGCAATGGTCCAGAAGATGATCATTGACACCCTCCACAAAGAGGGTAAGTCACAGAAGGTCATTACTGAAAGAGCGGGCTGTATCAAAGCATATTAAATGCAAAGTTGACTGGAAGGAAGAAAATAAGCTTGAGAATACTGTCAAGCAAAGCCGATTCAAACACTTGGGAGAGCTTCACAAGGAGAAGACTGAAGCTGGAGTCAGTGCATCAAGAGTCACCAGGCTCAGACGTCTTCCGGAAAAGGGCTACCAAGCCACTTCTGAAATAGAAACAACGTCAGAAGCATCTTACCTGAGCTAAGGAGGAAAAGAACTGGACTGTTGCTCAGTGGTCCAAAGTCCTCTTTTCAGATAAAAGTAAATTTTGCATTTCATTTGGAAATCAAGGTCTGAAAGCATCTGCTAAATGACTAAAAGTAAAAGTAAAGTAAAGTTTGTGCCAAAGGAGCCCCATCCAAGTATTGAGTGCATAAATGAACATACTTTAAAGAACTTGAGCTTTTCTGTTGTGCAAATCCTTTTTTTGATTGATCTTAGGAAATATTCTACTATTTTGAGATACTGGATTTTTGACTTTCATGAGCTGTAAGCTCTAATCATTCAAATTAAAACAAAAAACTTTTATAATGTTTTACTTTACATGTAATGAATATAGAATATATGAACGTTTCACTTTTATCACCTTGTAACTGGTTGGTTTGGTTCATGACTTGTAACTCTTTAACAAAGATTTTTTAAAACACCTTAAGGGGGAAAAAATGAATGAGAAAAGCACTTCCGGATACAATAGTAGTGAAAAGTGCATGGGCAGATTGTGCATTAAAACACTTTATAACAGAAACCACAGATAAAAGCTAATAAGCTGTTCTCCACTTACCCAGCATCCCTTTGTTGGGCTCAGACAAACACATGTCTTTCTCAGCACTGGGCAGTACGAAGCCCACCACGAAGATCTCCACGCCATCAGCCATGAGGGCCAGACCCAGCACAAAGTACAGGGTCCACTGGAAGCGGCCGTGGCCACACTCCTGCAGGATGGTCTCATACTGCTGAGCCAGCTCCTCCTGGTCCTTCCTCCTCTCCCCGTCGTACTGCGTCATGTCCCGGAACTGAGACTGTCCCACTCCGCCCACCTGTCTGTCGGCCTTCTCAACGGAGTCGTTTCTGGGGATGCCCTGGTACTCGCCCTCGTAGATCTCATCATCCTCATCGTGGCCCTCTGTGGAGTCGCTGTGAGCCCCTTCGTCGTCGTTGGCCCTGCTGTTGCTGCGGTAGTAGCTGCCGTCCTGGGCCTGCACGGGGTAATCGTCATCATCGTCTTCCTCTTCGAAGCGGGTATAAGAGCGTTTGCTGTATTCGTCGCTCACCCTGTCCATGTGGCGGCCCACCTTTTTACCTGCTTGCTTTTTGACCTCTTTGGCAATGTCCTTAGCACCTTTAATGAAGGCCGTACGGTCTCTGTAACCCTCCTCCATGGTTCAAAGTTGTGCGCTGATGTAAAGAGTGCTGGAACTAGATGTCAGGAGCTGCCTGTTAGCATGTAGTAGAGTGAAGCTGGGCTGAAGAAGTTCAGGACCCTGGACAGCAGCTTCAAGAGCACAGAGCTCTACACGGCAGTCTGAAAATATACAAGAACACACGCTGTTATTCAAGATGAAAGACTGAGGCATTAAAGCAAATACTTTACAACATTAACACATCAATTTACAATTAAGTCATACGTCACACATTTGGACTTTATGAAAAAAGTCCCAAAAATGCTTCATTTGTCTTAATGTAAAATCCAATTTCTGCAAAAAAAGAAAAAAAAGTTTTTTGTAAGATTGTCTCTTTTAGATCTTACTGTTTACTGAATCATACAGGTAGTCTGTATATTCTCAAAAACAGGTCCATCAGCTGCTATTATAGCTAATCAACCATCATTTTTCATTTGGACTTGCAAAACACATGATTTGAATTCTTAAACTATGGCTTTTTGTTTTGTGCACCTGTTCACATCAATGCATTTTCCCCACAATATTAAATATATTAAATATATATCAGCTAGAAAGATAGTCTACCAGGTCAAAAACCAGGCATCTTCTGCTATTCTAGCTAATAGCAACCATCTATACCAGCTTAGTTCTGCTAAATGACATGCTTAGACCATATAGAAATCACGCAAAACCAGCTATAACACTGTGCTTGGCTTCAGCAGGATTTTCAAACAGTGATATTACCTGAATAAACTTGATTATGTTTAATCAGCTTTGTGATAACAGCAAGAAAGTAATACACATAGAATTAAAATTCTTGTAAGCTAAGAGCACAATTACAAATGACTACATGGATAACGCTGACAGCATGTAAATAGGTACAGCAGCTCACAGTGACCTTGTTTCGTCCAGTTTACATTCTGGAGGAAAACACTTTAAGGAACCAATTGAGCCTCCTTGAAAAAGGGCGATTAAATTGTTCCCAAGGGAAATTCATAAAACCATCAGTCTGTGTTGCCTCGTACAATCTGTTGAAATTGGTCTGGATCCAGTTATTGCATTAATAATCTAATATACATAATTGAGCCACATTAATAATATCTCAGGGGTACTTAGGAGCTCTACAGCACAGATAAAGATCTGTGCAGAAATCCTTCACTGAACAAACCTGAAAGGGATGAGATTTAGGGTTATGAAATGAAAATCAGAGATGGTGATGACAACACGTCTTGGTTGCTTTCTGTTGAGTTGTCCTCACTACAGAGCAACCAATGTAACATGATTTCTTAATACTGTGTGTGGTTACCTGGATGATCTACGACTGCTTTTTTTGTTTTGTGATGGTTGTTCATGAGTCCCTTGTTTGTTCTGAACAGTTAAACTGAGCACTGTTCTTCAGAAAAATCCTCCATGTCCTGGAGATTCTTCAGTTTTCCAGCATATTTTGCATATTTGAACCCTTTCCAGCAGTGACTGTATGATTTTGAGATCCATCTTTTCACACTGAGGACAATTGAGGGACTCAAACACAACTATTAAAAAAGGTTCAAACATTCACTGGTGCTCCAGAAGGAAACACGATGCATTAAGAGCTGAATAACTCTTAACTCATTAAGGGGTGAAAACTTTTAGAATTTGAAGATCAAGGTAAATTGTACTTAATTTGTCTTCCGGGAAACATGCAAGTATCTTCTGTTGCTTCCGAAGAAGGGCAGTACTAAATGGAGAAAAAAAAAAAAGATATTTCAACAAAATAAGAAAAATTTGGACATCTTCATCCTGTTCAAAAGTTTTCACCCCCGGGCTCTTAATGCATCGTGTTTCCTTCTGGAGCATCAGTGAACGTTTGAATCTTTTTCAATAGTTGTGTTTGAGTCCCTCAATTGTCCTCAGTGTGAAAAGATGGATCTCAAAATCATACAGTCACTGCTGGAAAGAGTTCAAAATATGCAAAGATGCTGGAAAACTGAAGAATCTGCAGGACATGGAGGATTTTTCTGAAGAACAGTGCTCAGTTTAACTGTTCAGAACAAACAAGGGACTCATGAACAACCATCACAAAACTTGTGGATTATATGTAAACATTTTTTTTGTAAAATATCTTACTCGGGACAGTACAAATTAAAAAAGAACATGCATTTTGTATGGTCTCTCTTATTTTGTTAAAATTATTCACAGATTCTGCAAGGGGCTCCCAAACTTTCCCATGCCACTGTATCTATCTATCTATCTATCTATCTATCTAGATAAATATCAAATATTTTGGTGGAATTTTGGAACATTTGGAATATTTAATTTGCTGTAATAAATTATCAGATTTAATTTAATAATATAATATAATATAACTTAATAAATTATATATAAAATAAATTAATAATATAAATAAAATACAACATAAAAAAATACATGAATAAACACACACATCTTTTGGATATATACACAGATCTACATATATGTATACAAAGTTAAATAATGATTCCCATTCCTAAAGACTCCAATGTAAACAAGTCACAATCTTTTTCACATTCTCGTCTAATTCCTCTGTTCTTTTCTCTCTCTCTCTTATTGTGTATTCCTCTCTGAACAGAGCTCATCAGCCGGGCGGCCACCGCTCAGCTCCACATCACCCCCGTGTCTGTGAAGATAATGAGCCGGCCAGACATTCGGCCTTCTCAGTGAATCTAGGATATCTGTCAGCACTGCTCTTCTCAACAGCTCGGCCCAAGTCCTATTACATTATCATGGCACTGATAAGTGAATACACGGAAACAGACCAGTCATGTGGACTGTAGTAGAGTCAATAAAACAAATTGGCGTGCTTCTCGCGTTACTCCAATTAAACACTGCGATGGTTGTAAAGCTAGAAAATGTCTGTAAAGGGGAATCTGGGGCGCTATGAGCTCATCAGCGGATGCGATTGGTCCAAGGGAGAAATGGCCCAGTTGGTGGCAGCAGGCATGGATCTGCCTTATGCTGTCCTCCGTGGTCATTTCATTCTCACTCGTACAATCCCTGCATGCTCTCTCCGCATGTGCACACACCTGCCAATAGAGGCCTGCGCTGCCATTGTGAAAATAATTTTAATATTGATTGATTTCAGGGCTGATTAGACAGTGTTTGTTATAAAAAAATCCATGCAAGTGGGTTCTGATGAGTTTTTAATCGATACAGCGCTGACACATGATGAAAATACACCATCAGCACTGCGGCCATGCTCAGGGAACTATTGTTTCTTTAAAAATACATAAATAAGAACGATGCTTTCACTTATCATTTACTCACCCTCATGTCATTCCAAACCTATCTTCTGTGGTACACAAAAGCATATATATTTTTTAAAGTCTTGTGTTTTAGAGTTTTTTATTTTATTTTATTGTATTATTCATTATTTATATTATTTTATTCATTATTTATTTATATATTTTATTTATGAAAATGGGTGGGGTCCACACAACATTGGACCCATTCAAAATATTTCTTCTTCTTCTTCAACTATCACTTTAAAACACTCTGAGTTTGGGCAATCTTTTGGTTACTGCATTAAATGGTACAGTTCACTCAAAATTTTTAATTTGACATTAGTTACCAGGGTTATAATCATTAACTTAAACTGCTAAAACATTTTTTTCAAAACAAAATAAAATTTAATTTAATTTAATTTAATTTAATTTAATTTAATTTAATTTAATTTAATTTAATTTAATTTAATTTAATTTAATTTAATTTAATTTAATTTAATTTAATTTAATTTAATTTAATTTAATTTAATTTAATTTAATTTAATTTAATTTAATTTAATTTAATTTAATTTAATTTAATTGCTTGTTGCTTTGGTAACTAACTGAAATACGTTTAAGTTGAAGCACTAAATGTATTAAATATAATTAAATAAAACTAAAACTAAAACCTAATAGTAATAATAATAAAAAAAAACTAATAAAAATGACAAAAGCACATAACAAAAAAAAAACTAAAACTTAATGTAAAAATAAATAGTAAAATAAAATAAAAAATAAAATAATATAAAATATAAAATAAAAATAATAGAAAATTAAAAAATAAAATAAAAGCTAATACTAACAAAAACTATAATAGTATATAAATAATCCTAAAATAACACTGTCATTTACTCAATTTCATATCATTAAGTGGAACAAAAAAAACAAAAACTAAAAAAAACAATGAAACTTCCATACAATGAAAGTACTTTGTAAATGTGGTTGCCAAGCTCCAAAAAGTACCACTAAATCAGTCAACACAACTTATTTCAGTTTCAACACAACAGCTATTTCATGTCTTCTGAAACCATAAGATAGCTTTATGTGACAGACAGACTGCAATTTTGGTTGTTATATGCTCCTCCTCTGCGCCATAACACCATCAAAGAGATTTAAGACCTATAAATGGGAGACAAGACTTCAAATTTCAGTCTGATCCTCACACAAATCCATCCTTCAATACATTCAGGCGAGTAAATGATGACAGAATTGTTCATTTATGCTTGAACTATCCCTTTAAGAGCTCTCAATGACATTCAGTGTCAAACCATTAAACATGTAAATAAGCCGTGTAACTAGTCCTGCGCAGGCAGAGCACACCGGCTGTGTTGTATTATCGTGTCATGGTAACCGTCTCCCCCACAGTTCCCAAATACGTCTCATCTCTGTTGAGGTCTGCAGATGGGACAGCAATAGTGGTGTGCAGGAGCAGCGGTGTGTGTGAGATGGCTCTGCTGGGAACAACAGCCTTTCTCTTGGTGGAACACTTGCGTTTCAATTAGACTGGTACAGGAACACATGTCAGCGCTAAAGAACAGGGCCTAAAAGCTCTGTGAAGCAAAGCCTAGCCCAGAGCTGTCAAATCTACACTGCCCTAATGCAATATGAGATTACAGGCCTTTTAGATGTGATTTAGGACTGCGGTAGATCAAAACAGGAGTAAAACAGACAAGGAAGACAGTGCCCTTCTTAAATACAGTAATGAATGAGATTTCCTCTACACTGTAAAAAATGACTGTGAATTTAACGGTAAAAGACTGTAAAAATGCTACAGTAAAAACCTGTTAAATGGTTAACGGTAAATTCCCCTACTATATACAGTGAAAAACTGTATTGGACATTACATGTAATTTTACGGTAGTATA